TTATGACCGAGTCGCGGTTATTATCGGAATGTGGAAATTAATTCGCTGGTGTTTCTGTGATTCCCCTTCGCTTAGATCATCGTGACGTAAAAGAGATTAACGCGCGCGATTCACTTGACGTCGCATCGCTGAAATTCCTTGTCGTGAAACCCCGGAGGAAAAGTTTGAATGACGTGGCATTGTGGACGTGATCTACAGGGTGTTGATATATTCGTGGAATACGAAGAATTCGATTCTAATTCGATCAAAATAAAAGGAAGGAATTGATGGATTGTAAAAATATCGGTTGAAGTTTGTTTATTAAGTTGTAAATGGTTTAAATTAATGTTACGCGAACAGAGATAAAAATAAAGTGAGGGCAATTTTGTCTTTGTCAGACTGTTTTTAATTCATCTAATTCATTTAACAAAATGAAATTATGATTAAATTATGATTAAATAAATAAACTGAACCGATATTTATATATTTGTATCATCTTTTGTGATTGTTTTTTACTTTTTTTAAATATTAACTTCAAAGATTTTTCACGAATATTAACACCCTGTGTATAGAGAAATTGAGTATCTATATCCTTATTTATAGGGAAAAAATCAAAATCATTTAATTGTATTTATGTAATCTACTTTTTAATGAAAAAGAATCTGTTAATTTTCAAATTTAGAAATCTTGTAAAAGTTTTGAATTGTTAATTTTTTTATGTTTTTTATTTTTATTTTTATTATAATACTTTCAATTTTATATTATAAATTTTAGAGGTTAAAATAAACACAAAAGATATATATAAATGTCTGTTAAGATTTGTTTATTGAAAATTTATTTATAAATAATTGAAATTTATATTTAAAGAAACACGAGATAGAATCTAATCTAAATTTTCATCTAATTCAAACTTAAATTACCTATATTATTAAATTATATTATTAAATATATATATATTATTAAATATAATATAAATTATTTTATTAAACTATATTATTAAATTACCTTATTAAATAAGCCTCAAGTAATATTTTTTCTATTTGCTTCAATCTCTATAATATCCTTTAAAAATCAATATATTCACAATATATTCACAAATATTCTGTAATAAATAAATATTCAATTTTTAATGCTTTGTTACTCTGTTAAAAAAGTCCCAGATGAAATTACGTTTAAAAAAATATATAAAAAAAGTTAAAACTTTGAGGATTAATTTCACTTTCTCAAAGAGATTTTCTGCTTCTCTGTGTATGCACATAATCCATTATCCTTTGCTTCCAAATTTTTTATTGAAATAGTAGATACTTTTTCTGAAACACGACTTTTGTTAAAACAAATTTACTTACAAAACAATATATTGATTTTATGATTCACAATATATATCAGTTATTTATCTAATATTTATCTATAGTTCTCTTTTTCGCCCATACATTTTGTTTTAACTTATTATGTTTATAAATTTCTAATCTATTTCCAACTCTCAAAAAAATCACAATAAAACTATTTTTTAGAAAATCTCTATTTTTAATTAATAACTTCTTACATTTATTTATTTTAATATAATTATAATATTATTTATTTTAATAATTACATATAATTATATTATATTTTATATGAATTAGAATAATTCTCTTTATTCAAAGCCTTGATAATTTCCATGATAATAAAGTTTGTGTTTATTTTTTTTTGTGTTAATTTTCCATTTTATTTCTTTAGAAGAAAAGCAAGAATATTATAAAAAAAACTCGCCATTCATAAACTATTGGATAACACTTTTATAAAGCGACATAAAATTATTATTTTTCAGTTGAGAAATAGTAATATTTTTTTGCCGTCGTTGTATCCATAGAATTGAATCACATTAATAATCTTCTTTGTCGATTCGAAGAACGCGAGCATCCAAGCGAATCGAATCGAGTTTATTGATTAGTGGTCTTCCATTAAACAATCGTCTCGAGGACGCGAACTTCGTTTTGCGAGTCTGTCGATAAAACTTGAAGGTTGAAGCACGAAGAGTTTTCTTTATGATAATAAATACAAAGATTTCATTTACATTTATAACCATAGATCAGCTGTTGTCACAGAGCAATGAATTTTAATATGAATTTTAATGGGTTTTATCATCTTTAGTTTTCAATATATTGAGAATGTTAATAATGACGAATTACTAGAGGTAAAAATTGAAGAAATAGAAGAAGAAATAGCTTCAGTAATGTATCCTAGAAGTCGATCAACAAAGTTTAATTTGGTGATATCAGATCATTTTTTCCAAAAAATTTTTTTTCGTTTCGGCTTTGTTAATGAATTATTAATAAAAAAAAAACATTAAACCAATCACAGACTACATAATGTTGTATATGTAGTTGATAAATCGTCATATAATCGATATATATTGTTTGTTCAATTTGCGAGTAACACATAGCCAACACTACCAATCATACGAGTCGACAAATCTACGCCTTCTATGATTGGCCAAAAGAAAAATTTTTGCAAAGAAAAAAGTTGTTCGAAATCACCTGAGGAATCATCAATTAAAATTTATAAAGTTTTGAAATATCCTATATATTTATTTAATGAGAGATCTGAGATTACTTATTTGGATATTCATTTAATGTAGATTCGAATAATTTGCTTAATCAAGATTTCATTGCAATATTGGCAAAATTAATGATTAACGAATGGATTGATAATTAGTAATTACGATAAGCAATTAAAATAAATATTTATCTCGATTTATAAATAATAATTAAAGTAGGATTTAATCATAAAGTAGGATTTAATCATAAAGTAGGATTTGATCACAATTGATCTTTTAAATAATATTTCATTAAAAATGAAAATAAATTAATGATAAAGTCTCCAATACGAAATAGAACGAAATTTTAAATCGTTCAGAATGCTTTGTCATCCTATTATGAAAAAAAAAAAAAAATTGCAATCAGAATTTAAAAAAAGTACTAAAACTTTTATTTCACCTATTCAAAGAGATTTGTTTCATATATAATCTAATAAATGTTTTGTATGCGTACAAATTTCCATTAAAATCATAATTTCCTTATAATAAATAATATTCAAATATTTTCGTGAAAAACTGCATCTGAAATATCGGAATCGATTGGTTTCATTGTACGATTTTCACAACACGATAAATAGTGCGAGGATTATCGATAGCAAGGCGTCTCGTTCTTGAGAATAGTTCCTCTTTAACCACGACCCTATATTTTTTCCCATTTGACACGATCTCGTGCGTTACGTTGTTCTCCGATTGACCCAGATGCATCGATATATCGCACGTGTATATGCGCGACACAAAGACTATCTATACTTAACATATATACCAATTTAGATGTGTGCACATCTTCATCTAGTTAGATATTTACATATAAAATACATTGAATTTGTTTTGAAATGAATAAAAAAAAACTTCTTAAGTATAATTCCTTAATAAAAGAGATCTTACAAAAAATTGTTTGTACGATATGATATGTCAATTTCAACTTTTGTTGAAACATTTTTTTGATAAATTTAATAGTATTCAATTAGAGATAAACAGATTGTCGAAATATTAGTTGATCAGAGATGATAAAATAAAATAAATATTACGTTGTATTACGGTGTAAAAAATTACGAATGCAAATAAAAAAATAAATTTCTATATTATTAAAAATTGAAAATAAATATGTAAAGTAATAATTGATTATGTTGAGTGTATGTGATAAAGAATTTGTTTTATATTTTAATTAATATTGATCTTTTTTATTTTTTAATAATTTATATATAATATAAAATATAATATCTTTTTTTAAAATAAATACATAAAAAATTAACAATAATCCAATTGGAAATATTTAGAATTTTTAATTAAATTTTTTTATTTTTTTCAATATATTATTATATTAAAAATATTATATATTATTATATTTAAATTATATTTGAATCATTAATTATATTCAAAAAATCTTATTATTTCATATATCATTTTGAAAATAAAATAATGTATTTTAATAATCCTGGATCTTTTTTTTTATAAATCAAGAAGAAAGAAATATATTCATATTAGATAAAATTTTACAAATAAAATTAAAATTTTAATAATTTAATTTCTTAATTATACAAAAAAATTCATATGGATTATTAAAGTTTAGTGTATATATATAATAGTTTTTCTGATAATACAACTGCAAATTTTTTCTTTCTCACTATTCTTATTTTTCTATCTATAAATCCATTACTTCTAATATATTCATCATTCTGTCTTTCTTTTTTTTTCTTTTTTTTTAAAACTATTATTAGAATAAATTTTCTCTTTTTTTTTTTTTATTCCAGATAGCAATTATTAGCTTCATTTAATTTTTTTCAGCCTTCAAAATATTAAACCATTACTACAATATATAATATTTTCAAAAATCTTCCAAACAACTAAATATCATATAAGTATCTGATATACAAAAAAGATGTCGAACAAAAAAAAAATACTGCCTTTATTTATTTATTAACATTTATTAATATACTTATATATTAAAACAAAATTTTAAGAAAACATTTTTAAACTAATTAATTAAAAACGATTTACTAAAATAAGTCCCTTTATTAGAAAAATCCTCGATTTCAAACGAAATTATCAACATCCTTGAAAATCATGACCTACAAATTAAAACTCTTATGTCTTAAAATTTGTGTAAAGATGTCGAGATATTGATAAAGGAATATACATATAAAATATTGAATATGTGTATATCAATGATTTTGCTTGCTTGCGTGCATTTGCAAATTGTTGAAAGAATAGTGAAACGAGTGTAGTTGAAGATAGAGCTTACGGCCTACTTTTTCTGCCAGTTTCTCGAGTCTCCTCGAGGCTCCCTGTAAAGAGATAAGATACGAAACTTTTGATCGAGGTACGCTTAGTTTTCAACCGTGTCCTCTATTCTAAGATACACAAGAAGTAAATAAAATATATATCACGAAAAAAAATTCATGATATTCGTCTGAAATTCATTCAAAATTCTCTACTTTACCTTTACCGACGATCGATCGAGTAACTTTGTTTGTTTTCCAGGTAGTGACGCTTTCAATCGCGCGATGCTCATGAACGTAGGATACGTGGAAGCCTTGAAGGAACGACCTTTCGACTGCTTCATTTTTCACGATGTCGACCTACTTCCTGAAAATGATAGAAATCTGTACACGTGTCCGGAACAACCGAGGCACATGTCTGTCGCAGTGGATAAATTCAATTATAGGTGAGATATTGAATCAATAATTGATTCAATTAATTTCAACTAAGATTGTTTTCAAAATTTTAAAATTTTCACAATTTTGAATTATATAATTATTGTTGCTGTATTACTTTATTATATGATTCACATTTGAAATAAAAAAAGAAACACGTATAAGTTTTTAAGAGAGATATATTTAAATTTATTTTTTTTTTTTATCAAGATCATTTGATCTTTCTTTTATTTATGTTCAAATAAATTACATGTATACATCAATATCAGTGAAAAATTTATTAAAAAAGACGAAAATTTTATATTTTATTATTAATTAGTTATATAATAAAAATAATTATATTATAGATAAAATAAATTAGAAGATACATTAAAATGCATCAAAATTCA